CAGTTGGAGTCATCTTGGGCTGTCTTGAAGCACTATTCGGCCTCCTTGGGCCGTCTTCGAGCCATCTTGGGCCATCTTGGTGTCCGTGGTTGCCTGTCCGGGACGTCTTGGAAATTCGGCAGCGTATCCATCGCTTTTAACGAGGGAGGCCATGCGCTTGGGAGAACATGCGCTTGGGAGACCATGCGCTTGGGAACGCGGGAAGTGCACGATCCTCGAGCGGGTGCGCGTGGGATGAGGGGTCAAGGAGGTAGCAGCCATGCAGGAAGTGCGCAATCCTCAAGCGGGCGCGCCCGGAATGAGGGTTCAGGCAGGCATGGGCTGCCATGCGGGAAGCGCTCCATCCTCGAGCGGGTACGCGTGGAAAGGGAGGTTCAGGCATTAGCTGCCATGCGGGCAGTGCATCATCTTCGAGTGGGTGCGCGTGGGATGAGGGTTCAGGCATTAGCTGCCACGCGGGAAGTGCACCATCCTCCAGCGGGCACGCGTGGAAGAGGGTATTGAGCGTCAGTTGCCTGCTAGAAGTGCAACATCCTCGAGCCCGCACTGAGGAAATAGCTACGGTGACAAGGGGGGACGCATGCATAAGTATGTGAAATAATGGGGGCCGTTCCTTATCATATCATAAAAAGCCCTACCAGACAGCCCTTTGTATTTTTTCATGCCTCCACGTGCCATGGGCACGAAGGCGGATTGGCGTGGCCGCTTGGTCTGTCCAAGTGTGGCTCTTATTATTCAACGTGTTTTCACTCGCGTAGGAAGGGAATCTTGGCACCCACGCTGCCCACCTTGGAGCTACTAGTACCCTTCAGGCGCGGCGTAACGCTTTAAGAACCCTCTGGCATGCGGCAAGCGCAGGGGCTGGATCCGTTTTTTCCCACCCCCCATCTTGTGGTCTTGGGTCCTCGTTTCGAAGAGACGGTCCCCGCGTTCCTCCTTCCTCCCTCCCCCTCCTGCCCCTCCTCCTTCCTCCCTTCGTTTCACCCACCTAGTACAGCGTTTCGTGGCCCCTTTGGGAGCTCCACCGAAGGCGCCAGTGCCACCGTTCGCATGCGTCCCGAAACATCTCATTTGGCATTTTCATCCACCCAGTACAAAGTTTCGTGGCCCCATAGGGAGCTCCATCGAAGGCCGCAGTGCGACCGTCCGCATGCGTCCCAGAACATCAAATTTGTTATTCTCACCCACCCAGTACACGCGCACGCGCACGCAACCGCGCACGCGCACGCGCACGCGCACGCGCACGCGCACGCACACGCACACGCACACGCACACGCACACGCACACGCACACGCACACGCACACGCACACGCACACGCACACACGCACACGCACACGCACACGCACACACACGCACACACACCCTCACCCTCACCCTCACCCTCACACCCACACACCCACACACCCACACACCCACACACCCACACACCCACACACCCACACACCCACACACCCACACACCCACACACCCACACACCCACACACCCACACACCCACACACCCACACACCCACACACCCACACACCCACACACCCACACCCCACACCCCACACACCCACACCCCACACGCCCACACGCCCACACGCCCACACGCCCACACGCCCACACGCCCACACGCCCTCACGCCCACACGCCCACGCCCACACGCCACACGCCCACACGCCCACACGCCCACACGCCCACACGCCCACACGCCCACACGCCCACACGCCCACACGCCCACACGCCCACACGCCCACACGCCACACACGCCCACACGCCCACACGCCCACACCGCCCACACGCCCACACGACACGCCCACACGCCCACACGCCCACAACACACACACCCACCACACCCAACACCCAACACCCACACATCCACACACCCACACACCCCACACACCACACACCACACACCCACACACCCACACACCCCACACCCCCACACGCACACCACGCCCCATCCCACACACCCACACCCACACCCACACCACCCCACACACCCACCCACCCACCCACCCACACCCACACACACACACACACACTGAGACAGACAGACAGACAGACAGACAGACAGACACACACATACACATACACACAACACGCACACACAACACACATAACAAACACACAACACACAACACACACACAGAGACACACAGAGACACACAGACACAAACACAGAGACACAGAGACACAGAGACACAGAGACACACACCCACACACACACACACTTTCGCATTTTCACCCGCCCAGTACAGCGCTTCGTGGCCCCATAGGGAGCTACACCGAAGCCCCCAGTGGGACCGCCCGCGTGCGTCCCACACACCTAATTTGGTTTCACCTCCCCAGTACAGCGCTTCGTGACCCCATAGGGAGCCCCACCGAATCCTGCAGTGGGACTGTCCGCATGCGTCCCGAAAACTTAGTAGGCATTTCCACCCACTCAGTACAGCGCTTCGTGGCCCCATAGGGAACTCCACCGACGGCCCCAGCGCTACCGTCCGCATGCGTTCCCCCCGCCCAGTGCAGCACTTCGTGGCCCCATAGGGAGCTTCACCGAAGAAGATGTTCACAATTGCGGTACCCACAACTGCATATGGTTGGGTCCTTCGCCTGAAAATAGATTTTCCGCGTTCGCTCACTTTCTCACTCTCTCTCTCTCTCTCTTTTGTTTGTTCTCTCTCGCTCTCTCTCTCTCTCTCTCTCTTTCTCTGTCTCAGGTCACGATTGATGTTTTGCATTCGCCTAGTCATCGCAGGGTTGCTCACGGCTTGCCAGGCGACGCTTTGAATCGCGTGGCGGCTGAGGATGTGTTGTTGGGAGTTCACCAGCATGTATGGAGGTAAGCCTTCTCTCGCGACATCGAACGAACTCGATGGATGGGGGCTGCCGGATCTGCACAGCTGCACCACAGCAGGAGTCGCGGCGGGCCCCCCCGGCTCGTGAGGCCTCTGCGTGTCCCCACGGTCCCCATGCCTCCTCATCCTCCTCCTCCGCCTCCACCTCCTCCTCCTCCGCCTCCTCCTCCTCCTCTGCCTCCTCCCTCCTCCTCCCTCCTCCTCCTCCTCCTCCTCCTCCTCCGCCTCCTCCGCCTCCTCCTCCTCCTCCGCCTCCTCCTCCTCCTCCTCCTCCTCCCCGCTGCATCCTCCAGGAGTGCGGAGGACCTGTGGGCCCCGGAGGACACCCGGAGAAGCGAAGGAGGCCCAACTGTTTCGGACAAATTTGCCCCCGCTCTTCAAGTCTCGACCCTCGATCCTCGTCGTTGCGGACGGCTCTGTGTGCACCGTGCCGCGGTGGTGTCTTCCGAGGCGTCGTGGGTATCCTCCACCCAAGGATGGTGCAGCGCACGGGGTGTTTCGACCCCCAGGGCCGGAAAAGTATGCAGCGTACACCGGTGGAGTTAGTTGGGCCTGAAGGGAGTCCACAGTTGGGCGCCGTTTTCGTGTTGTCCGCCCCGCTCCCGCACCCAGACATCCCGACGCTGTGATTTTGTCAGTCCGCGGCCGCTGCAGGGCTTCCGGCCGCTCCGCCCGGGATGCCTTTCATTTAGGATGTTTGTTCTTTGGTGGCTTTGGGACCCTGGACCGCGCCGCTGGAGGCCGAAGCCGAGGAAAAGCACATCGCGGTTGAACTGAGCAGTCCTCTCATACGTCCTTGCGCATTCCTCCATTCCTTTCAGATGGAGAACGAGGCGGAGGAGGCCTGAGGACCAGTGTAGACCCAAGACGCATCAATGATGTTGTGATGAACCATCCCTCCACGTTCCCTCCTCAGTGTTTGTTGAAAGACAACCGTCTGAAAGTCCTCAACAGTGCCAACGCACCACCGCTTGGATTTCAGCGCCGCGAATGATATTCAGTGCTGCGTCCTAAAGATCCTGAATCGTGTCAGAACTCAAGTTCCTGAGACTTCAGCACCCTAAATCATGCCGGAACACCACTCATGGGGCGGCCAAGCATAATAATCCGTCAAACGCCTCTCAAGTTTTGCATTTTTGAAACAAAAGAAAAGCGCTGTCCCCCATGCGTGGGGTTGCTGCGAACCTTTCAGGCGAGTGTGCCAGGCGCTGAGGCGACGGCCGCATAGTTATCGAAGACCACCTGCCCTCCACCCGTGACAGCCAACCAACGTTTCGGACGAGTTTGCGCGGCGCGATGGCGAGAGCCACATGTTGGAAAAGGAGCCACCCTCCACCCGTGCAGCTACTGCGATGCTGTGCGACGAACGTGCGCGGCGCGGCGAGAGCCACGTTTGGAACACCGCCCGATTTCCACTCGTGAAAGTTTTGTACTCTTCTAAGACGATTGCCCGCGGCGCTGAGGCGAGAGCCACATTTTGGATAAGGAGCCGCCCTCCGTCGTGAAGCTCTCGCACACTTGCAGGAATATTTTTGCGCGATGGGAGAACCCCACTTTGAAAACGTACCTCCCGGCATCCGTGAAAAGATTGGGCGCTGCGTTGAGGCCAGAGCCACATTCTGAAAACAGCCCGCCTGCCATGCGCGAAATTCCTGCAAGCTTTCGAGGCGACTGTGCGCGGCACGGAGGCGAGAGCCACATTTTGAAAACCACCCACTCTTCACACGTGAAAGGGTTGCTGACCTGCAGCTTCCGGGTCATACACCGGGAGGAAATCTCACGCGGAGCGCCCCGCGCGCCCTGCCGACACGTCTCGTGGTTTGACAGGCAGGAGTTCCTTTATTATAAGGAAATGGATGGAGGGAGGGAGGGAGGGAGAAAGGGAGGGAGGGAGGGAGGGAGAGAGGAGGAAAAGGAGGAGGAGGAGGAGGAACAGGGGAAGGGGAAGGGTGGAGTGGGGGAGGCGCAGGAGGCAGGTGGAGGAACAAGGGGACGGCGTCGAGGCGTACATGTTCCTTTCTCCTGGCCTCCAGGCTGCTGAAGAAGTGCCATTCCAGATGCACAACCGCAGCGTTCAACGCCTCGACGGGAGCTTGACTGCAGAGGTCCTCGTGCTACCTGTTAGCGCTCTGGGAAAGTCATCCCCCCCACCCTCAG